GACTCCAACCAGAGACACAGATGTAAACGACTCCGCTGCTTTTGAATCAGCTGAAGGTTTTAAAGCTGCAGCAGTAAAATCACTGCGTCTGTTTTCTCAGAACACGTGAACAGGACGCCGATGATCGTGGGGCTGCTCATCTGCATCGTGGTCATCGCCATCATCATCCTTGCATTGGGATACCTCGGGTTTTTCCAAACTGAGAAAATCAAACGCTGCCTGGAGCCATATAAATATGAAATCCCACCGGTAAGACCAACACTGCTGCACACATTCACAGACACTGGTGGGCGCTGTATCCACTCTGAGCGTGTCAGTGAGTAAAAGAGCTGATTTTGATCACGATCAGTGTGTAAGACCGACGTGGTTCTTCATGGTGACTGATGAGTCACTGAACTGTCCAATGGTGTTAACAGAGCCGTCAGTCCAGCAAAGTTAGATTGGTTTAATTTTGTATTTGTTGTTTGGTCGAGTGTGTGAGACAGACACGGTTAGAGTGGGGAAAAATCCGTTCTGTGTTTCCCACTATTGTGTTGTTTTTTTTTTAATTTGAATACACTGTTTGTTTTTAAACAGGCTGCTGCCGTTCTTTTGTTATGCGTTTGAGTAAATGAATCGCTGCATTTGTTTGCAGCTGGAAGAGTTAAAACCGCTTCTCTGAGCTTCAACCAACATTATTAGCAGACGTACTCATGGGCAGATAAATAAATGACTGTTGTAAAAACAATCGGTGAAAGGCTCAGCCCGTCGTCGATATATTTGTCCAATCGCCCATCGTTAGTCTTCACTGCCTCTGAGGTTCCTGTGTCTTCTCCTCCTTCAGAATCCGTTTCCTGGGGAATTTGAAGTCCGAACATTTATTCCCACTGCAGAGCGCTATGACGACCTCCAGATCTCTCACGGTAACTACGAGCCCAGATCAGCACTCTGCCCTCCCGCCGCTGCTTCCTAAACTCTTGGAGAGGCTCCGCCCACTCACAGAGACTCCATTCAGAGTTTACCAGCAGAGGCGACTGAGTCGCTCACCTGCTCCAGGTGATGTAGCCGTGCACCATCTGGGTTATTTACCTGTGAGCTCCTGATCTCAGAACATTTGTGAACTACTCCCATGAGGACAGCGGGTGGAGTAAAACCGGGATGGAGCGCAGCGAGCAGCTTCCTGACACTAATTTTAACCACTGCGC